AGGTCTGCTGGGGATATAGGGAGACCCTGTCTCCAAAAGACCAAAAAAAAAAAGAAAGGAAGAAAGAAAGAAAAAGATGAATCAGGGAAACAGAGGCAGAATGTTTGTTTCCTTTCAAATTAATACCCTGAAACTTAATCCCTAATATTGGGAAGTGGAACCTTTGGGAAGTGATTAGGTCATGAAATGGAGTTCTCATGAAAGGAATTAATGCCTTTATAGAGACTCTGAGCTGGGTATGGTGGTGCAGGCCTGAATAAATAAATAAATAATGGGGGTAACCAACTGCTTTCTGATTAGATTTAAGGTCTGTTCCACGGGAGAGAATTCATGCCTACTATTGTGAACCTGATCAAAAACCCATGGCTGGGAAGGCCATAGGCCCTAGAGAGGAAGTTACTACTGTTGTTTTGTTAAATGGACATATCGTCAAATCATCTTTTAAGTATTTCTGTTTATACTCATAGATTACTGTTGCTGTCAACCTGGGTCAGAGAAGCTTCTTTTTGCAGTTAGACAGAAGCCCATGCAGAGACTCAACTGATCAAAGTACCGAGAATAAGTCACTGTTGGGTGTTCAGTCCTAAATGAGACATTTATGTCAACACCACCCCACCTCACCCCAAGGCTCAGGGAATTAAAGAGCTGGGGGATGGGGAGGAGAGCTAGGAAATGCTGTCTTCTGGACATGACATGGCCACTGCACTCATGAACTCACAGCATCTGTGGTTACCTGTACAAGATCAAGACAGTCAGCATTCCAGCATGGATGGGAGAGGGGCTCATGAGGCTCCACCCCTAACTGAGGAGCTGTTGGCAACTGAAGGCTGCTGGGGGAAGAGTCATTTTTCTTCAGTGTTATGGCTGCTGATTGGTTGCCCATGCTCCAGTGGATGGCCCCAAACACATGCACATGCAAGAAACACTAACTGGACTCAGTGAGCTCTACAAAAAGAAAAAAAGGAAGAGGACATGAAGATGGGAGGGGAAAGCACTGACTGGGGAGCGTTCTCCTGGGGACAGTGGGAGGGGAATTTGGGTTGGATATGATTAAGATATATTGTATACACATATGATATTATCAAAGAATAAAATCTCTAAACATAAACAAACAAAAACACTGAGTGAGCAGGTGTAGTAACACCTGCATGAAATCCTAGCACTTAGGAGGTCAGCCTTGGAGACATAGTAAGACCCTATTTTAAAAAGCAATCAAGAGGAGCTGTAGAACTGATGGCTTAGCAGTTTAAGAGCACTGGCTGCTCTCCCAAAGGACCTGGGTGGGCTTCCAGCACCAACATGGTGGCTAACAAGCATCTGTATTCCAGTTCCAGGGGCTCCAACACCATCTTCTGGCCTCCTCAGGCTTGCACAACACACATCCAGGCAATACATTCATACACATAAAGGAAAAAAACAATCAAGAGCTGAGTGTGGTGGCACAGGCCTTTAATCCCAGCACTTGCGAGGCAGAGGCAAGTGGATCTCAGCGAGATCTAGTGCAGCCTAATCTACATAGCTAGTTTCAGGCCAGCTGGGGCTACAGAAGACCCTGTCTCAAAAACCAACAACAATCAAATGAAAATCTCCACTGATATACTATCCATAAAATGGATGACTCCTACACCATAAATAGGATATATGCTGATATTGATATAAAAACATTTTTAAAAAAATTTTATTTGTACATTATGTGTCTCGCCTGCAGGTATGTAAGTGTACCCATGTTATGCAATGACCACAGAGGCCAGAAGATAGCATCAGATCTCCTGAAACTGGAGATAGTGATGGTTGTTAGCCACCATGTGGGTGGTGGGAACCAAACCTGGGTCCTCCGCAAGAGCAGCCAGTGCTCTTAACCACTGGGCCATCTCTCCAGCCCCTCTATATAAGCATCTTCATTGGATTTCAAGAGTATTATGCTGTGTGTGTGTGGGGGGGGGTAGAGGCAGGGAAGGCTGATCCCAAAAGTCACATATAATTCCACTCATAATATTCTTGAAATGACATACAGTATAGGCAGGGAACACATTAGTGACTGCCAAAGAATGAAGAGAGGCTTGGTGCAACTATGAAACTGTGACACCATATAGTGGTAGCACTTCAAAGTGTAGCACAGAGGACACACACACACACACACACACACACAAACTAGTACATGTAAAGTGGGAGATCTGCTACTTTGTAGTAGTAGTAGATCTTGCTACTTTGTAGGTGTCTATTCTCTGGATTTGTTGTAATATAGTTATGTAAGATGTTACCATTGGACAAACCTAAATGAAATTTCTACATTTGCAATTTCCTGTCATTCTACAATTATTAAAAAAAATAAAGACTTGGGCTGGAGAGACGGCTCAGAGGTTAAGAACACTGATTGTTCTTGCAGAAGACCCGGGTTTGAGGCCAGCCTGGTCTACATAGCAAGTTCCAGACCAGCTGGGGCTACAGGGAGACCCTGTCTCAAAAAGACCAATAATAAAAATAAAGAAATCATGGAATACAATTTTGTGAGGGTGGGTGGAGGGTAAGGAAAGAGCAATGCTGTGGTTTGAAAGTCCCTCTGAAGATCATGTGGAAAGTTAATTGCAAAACTAAAGAAATTTAATTGCCTTTGCAACAATATTAAGAGAAGAAACCTCTTAAGAGATGATTAGCTCATGGAGGCTTCACCTTTGAATGGATTAGTGTCATCACAGAAGTGGGCTAGCTACCTCCAGAGTGGTGCCTGATTAAACAAAAACACCAGGCTGCAGGTCAGTGGGTACTGTGCTTGCTGCACAAGTATGAAGGTGTTGGATCCCCAGCATTCACATAAAAGCTACAGGGCAGTGATGCCTATCTGTAACCATAGCCCTGGAGTGGGGGGTGGGAGCAGACAGATCCTAGGGGTTCATTGGCCAGCCTGTCCAACCAAACTGGTAAGCTCCAGTTTCAGTGAGAGACCCTGCCTCAAAAAATAAGGTAGAGAACAATAGAGAAAGATACCTGAGGTCAACCTCTGGCCTCTGCACATGCACATGTGGGCACCCACATACATACAAATCACACACACACACACACACACACACACACACAAATGAGAAATCAAAGCCAGGCCTTGTGGCACAGGCTTGTAACCTCAGCTACTCAGGAGGCTGAGGCAAGAAATCCCAAGTTCAAGGTCTGCCAGAGCTACACAGAGAGAGTTCAAGGCTAGGCCTGGAAATTTAATGAGACCCTGTCACAAAATCAGAAGTTAAAAAGATATAAGATAGCTCAGTCAACAAAGAGCTTGCCTTGCCTGCACAAGGACTGGAGTTCAATTTCCTGTACCCCCAAAATTTAAAAGCCAGCTATATACTTGTAATTCCAGCACTTCAGAGTCAGAAATAGATGAATCCCTGGGGCTCACTGGCTAGCCTGCCTTGACTACTTGGTGAATTCCAGTCCAATGAGACCCTCTCAAAAACAAATAAACAAACAAAAACAAACAAACAGACAGCATTGGAGGAACACCCAAGGTTGTCCTCCGGCCTTCATATGCACAGGCACACATAGACAAAACATAAAAGGGGACAGAAGTGGGGAGATAGTATGGTAAGGACAGAGAAGGGAGAGGAGGTCTGAATATGATCAAAATACATTATATGACATTCTTCAATCAATATTTAAAAAAATTAAGCTAGGAATGGCGGCTCATGCTTATAATCCCAGCACACAGGATGTAGAGGCAGGAGGATCACAGTAAATTCAAGACTAAGCTATGTATTGTGTTCAAGGCTAGGATGGACTATACAACCAAAAAGAAAAAAAAAAAGAAAATCAGTTTTAAATTCCTGAAGGTGGTAGGGGCTGGAGAAGTGGCTCAGCAGTTAAGAGCACTTGCTGTTCACAACTGCCTGAAACAAACTCCAGGGAATCCGATTCCTTCTGGCCTGTGTGGACACCTAAACTGCAGGCATGTGTGCATACTCACATTGATATGCACATAAAATTTTTAAAAAATGCCTGTGTGGCAGAAATGGCTAAGTGGTTAATATACTGGAAAGAAATGAAAGTACAAGGGCAGTATATGCACAACAAAATTTAGAGCATTAAGAAAAACATTTTTAAAAATTTTGTAAGTGGTTTGCCTGTATGTATATACGTGTACCTGGTGTGCCTGTGGAGGCCAGAAGAGGGCAAGAGAGCTGCCATATAGGTGCTGGGACATGGGCAGCAAGTGCTCTTAACCACTGAGCCATCTCTTTAATGAAAATATGTACTAATATTATATCAGCAGTGACGTTTGGAAACTGCCTAACTATGGATTCAAAAACATTCTTGGAAAATTTGTCTCCTGGGTGTCACTGAACTATTAAACCTAGTTTCTCAACATTTTCAGCTCCAAGAGCTTCCAACGTTTGGCCAAAAACCCCAAGAAAGGCCACTTAAATTGCGTAACCAAGGACATCAGGAGTGATGGCTTCAAGACATTTTTCAGTAACACACACACAAATAGGTTAGAATTTATGCCACCCTATGTAACTAGCGTCCCCTACAATTCTTCCATCATACTAGGGAAACTGGATCGCCCTCAAACCTGGCACTTCATTCCTTCCGACCACATAGAGCACCCGTATCTCCATTTAGCCGGGCCCAAAGCGGCCTGCCTCCTGATGCTACAATTTCAAAACCTCGGTTGTTTTCCTGGCCGGCGCACATAAGCACCAGCATGGCACAACTGCCGGTCTGGGAATTACGCACTGAATTCAACAAGTACAACGTCACTCTCTCCCACAGACCACAGCCTCTAAGATTGCACGGGTTTATTACCCGGTCTAAGCTGGCAGCCGCACCCGCTTTCACGTGCTGATAAAGGTCCAATGGCCTAGGCCCACGCTTTCCTCAGTAGCGCATGCGCGGACGGAACACACACCCGCCAGGCCTCCCGCCCCAGCCTTCCGGTACTCAGGAGTTAGTCTTCCCCCTAGGTCCGGACCTCGGGGATTAATGATTCCTATTACAGGTTGTTTCCGAATGCGGCCTCGGGATCTCGTCCTGATTGGCTTGGTCTAGAACCGGGGAAGGGACCTATTTGAGTCCGGATCCACTTCCTGCAGCCCGAGGCAGGAAGTCGTCCTACACTTCTGGAGTCGGGTGTGGAGTGAGAGCTGGCGGCCGGTGGGCGGTCGGGTCGGTTCCCGCCACATCTGTCAGCCCGCCTCCATCGGAGCGCCACGGCCCGCTCCGCCGACCCCGAGCCCGTTGCGGCTGCCCGGGGGGGTCTCCTGCAGGCTCCCCGAGGACACTCCGCAGGGCAGTGACCCGGGCATCGCCTGGGCCAGCGGCCGCGGGTCTGGCGCCCTGCTTCCGAGCTGCGGGCCACAGTGAGACGTTGCCCTGTCGCTCGGCGCCCGCCCTCCCGGCCGTGAGCCACCGAGACCCAGAGCGGCTGCCTCGGACCTGGGACTAGAGCGATCCACAACGCTCGGCCCCGGCCCGCCACGGACTGGGCTGTGCGTCTCTGATATGTCACCCACCATCTCCCACAAGGACAGCAGTAGGCAGCGGCGGACCGGCATGTTCTCCAGCCACGCTCTGGATTTGAAGAGCGGCCCGCTGCTGCCGGGCGGCTGGGAGGACAGTCACCTGGACTCGGTGGGCGGGGAAGGGGACCGAGAAGCTCTTCTGGGGGATGCCGGCCCTGTCGACTTCCCCAAAGCCCCGCGGAGCTACCGAACCGAGCTGAGCAGCATTTTGCTACTGCTCTTTCTTTACGTGCTTCAAGGTATTCCCTTAGGCCTGGCGGGGAGCATCCCGCTCATTTTGCAGAGCAAAAACGTTAGCTACACAGATCAAGCTTTCTTCAGTTTTGTCTTCTGGCCCTTCAGTCTCAAGTTGCTCTGGGCCCCCCTGGTGGATGCTGTCTACTTGAAGAACTTCGGTCGTCGGAAGTCTTGGCTTGTCCCTACTCAGTATATACTAGGACTCTTCATGATCTATTTATCCACGCAAGTGGACCGGCTGCTCGGAAACACTGATGGTAGATCTCCCGACGTGGTTGCCCTCACTGTGGCTTTCTTTTTGTTTGAGTTCCTGGCCGCCACTCAGGACATCGCTGTGGACGGTTGGGCGTTAACTATGTTATCGAGGGAAAACGTGGGCTATGCTTCCACGTGCAATTCTGTGGGCCAAACAGCAGGCTATTTTTTGGGCAATGTTTTGTTTTTGGCGCTTGAATCTGCTGACTTTTGTAACAAATATTTGCGATTTCAGCCTCAACCCAGGGGAATAGTTACTCTTTCAGGTAGTGTACTTAAGCTATTATACTGTTAGGGTTACTTTATGCTTATGAATCTTTTCGACAAAGTATGTGACTTTCAATGGAAGCTCTCTTTTTCTCTCATTTAGTTTTTGTTTTTAATGATGTACAAGATAATTTATTTGAAATTAGCGGACACAATATTGGGTTTCATTGTGAGATTTTTTTGGACATGTTTGTATGGACATTGGTTATATTCACTCCTCCATTACCCACTCGGCGTTCTCCCCTCCTCTCTCCTAGTCCCTTGCCCCCAAGTAACCCCCCCATTTATACGCACACTTTTTTTCTTAGATTCTGCATATGAGAGAAACCATGTGACATTTGTCCTTGGTTTGGATCATATCTGAATGCTATTTAACCTGATGGAGGAGTGTTTTTTTTTTTTTTTAACACGGTCTCTGTAAGCGAACTTCAAAGTGAATCCTGCTGTTTTATCTCCCATTTAACCCTCCTGGGTGCCGAGATTGCAGGCAGTGCCACCACATCTGGCTTTTTAATCTACTGGGAATCATGTGGTAGATGACCTGAAGTATGTTTCCTGGTTTTGTTAAAGTGCCCTTCGAGTGACACTGAAGCCAGCGCACAATTATTTTAGCACAGTCATAAATGTTGATCAGTACTCTACGGGGAGGAGCAACCAATAAAATAATTTGGAGTGAAAGATCCATAGGCACTGGCCTGATGCACAGGTGCACACATTTTTTAAAAGTAGAGGTCACATGGTTCACCTTTTTCTTTGTGTTTTGGTGGGTTGAGATTTCTAGTTTCTTGCTTTCTGACCCTTTCCCACCTCTTAGCAAGTAGTTCTCATCTAGCTGAGGGATCTGGAAATTGAGCATTATGGAGTTGGTGAAGTGTCAGGCTCCTAAGGGTCTCCTTGAATAAGAGTGTCCCTGCCAACAAGCACAGGAGACCTGGATGTTGTAGAGAAGCTCAGAGTAGTCAGCCATTTGACCATTCTTGACTGGATTTTTATTTAGGCTGATTTGGGCTTTTAAATAACTGGAGTTTGAACTTTGTTCTGTAGATGAATCTAAAATAGCTTATTTTCAAATTTAACTTTTATATCGGTAGTGGAATTCTGGTTTTGTTTGAATCATTTTGAGTTAATGAGTTTTATTTTAATGCTTACACATGCCACATTAATAGTTTTGAGGTTTCTGGAACTTAGTAATAATATAATCATATTCTGTAGATCCTATGTGTCCGTGGTCCTGGAAAATGAACCCAGGGATCCTTACAAGACAAGCTGTCCACCCTGACTAGTGGGAGTTTCTTCCCCACCCCTCGGGGAAGTACTGGGACTGTACTATTGACCTGTATTTCTAGCCCTTAGTTTTTTGACTGGCGTCCTAGTGTATCCCAGACTGGTCTCAAACTAAACACAGAAAATCTGAGTGTTAGAAGCTTTAACTTTTCAAAAACTCTAAATATATCCTGTGATTAACAGTTTTATATTATAGTTAAGTACAGAAGGAATATATTGAGAAAGAACAGTTTTTGAGACTCCTAGACAACAGGAATCTGAATTTAGAACTGTAGGATGAGATAGAATCTTGAGGGAAAAAAAAAACTTTATTCTGCTGTAGCTTCAGGGCAGGCCTGACTCTGTTCTCATACCCCAGATTTTTTAAAAACCTCTAGAGGCTGTAAGAAACAATTAGCCCAGCAGGACAAAAAAACAAAGCAAAAACAAAAACCCATAGTTTTATTACTTGAAAAGATCATTATTTGTTTCTTCATTCTTACAGATAAGGAAACTACTATAAAGTGACTAATTAGAGGGAGAGATATGCTTGCTGGTGTTCCTGGTTTTTTATCTGATGTTTTGCCTAAAAGTAGAAGGAAATTAGGAAGAGCCTCAAGGAAAACCTTTAGACCTAAATATTTACCCATTGAGCTTTTATTTTTGTTTTTGTTTGCTTGAGACAGAGCATCCCTGTAGCCATAGCTGTCTTGGAGCTTGCTGTGCAGACCAGGCTAGCCTCAAACTCAGAAATTCCTCTGGAGTGCTAGGACTAAAAGCTGGGCCACCCTGGTCAGCTTGCTTTTTTTTTTTTTTTTGGCCTTTTTGAGACAGGTTCTCCCTGTAGTCCCAGCTGACCTGAACTCACTATGTAGACCAGGCTGGCCTTGGACTTGCAAAGATTCGCCTGCCTCTGCCTCCCAAGTGCTGGGACTAAAGGTGTGCGCCACCACACCCGGCTTTTTTTTTTTTTTTTTTTAAATCAGAAATGTAACATTGTGATTCCTGGTACCTAAAAACATCACCCGCTTCTAGAATGGCTGATTCCCAGAAATGACAGACTAAAGTTCTAAATTTTTTTAACTGACCTAGGGCCTTTCATTTACTCAGAATTAAATGTCTGTTTAGTTCTAGCCAGGTATTAGTGATACGATTTAATAAAACCTGGGTATTTTCTTCTTGTTGGGAACTCATATAGTGGAGATTTACAAATTAGAATGGGTGATAGATAATATAAATGAGCTAGCCGAGTTGATACAAGACTAGGAACTGGGGGACAGTGGTGACCTAAGGAATTCATGTTACTCTAACGGCAAGGACAGAGGACAACTTTAGGGAGCTGCATCTTTCCTTCTACTGTGGGATGTGGAGGTGGAACGCAGGTTGTCAGGCTTGCATGGCAAGCACTTTCACCCCATGAGTCACTTCACCAGCCCCTGTTAATATTTCGTTTGTGTACCACCGTGCGTTTCCTCACAAATCCATTGGAGGAGTTTGGACAGTTTCCAGTGTGGGGTTTTTCGTGTCTGAAAATGAGTCTTTAGTTCCCTGAGATAAATGTCAGAGTGCAAATAACTGGGTCCTGTCACAAGTCCATTTTTAGTTTTGAAAGGTCCTGCTAAAGCATTTTCTACAGTCGTTTGTTTTGTTTTGGGCAGAGTCTCACTGTAGGCTGGGCTGGTCTTGAATTCATAATTCTCCTTCCTCAGCCTCCCAGTGCTGAGATTACAGGTGTGCTCTACCATGCACTGCTTGTTGGACCATGTTGTCTTCCTGGCTCTTCCTGAGTGACCCTTTTTCTCTATACTTGTCAGTACTTGGTCTTCTTTCTGTTTTTCATTTTAGTTAGTCTGATAGTTGAATAGTCTGCTAGTTTTATAACATCATATGAATTATAAAGCAGTGAAATATTGGAACCTGGTGTAGTTGTGCTATCCTGCCATCATAGCACTTGAGAGGTGGAAGCAGAAATATTGTGAGTTCAAGGCCAGCCTGTGCCACATAGCAAGACTCAAAGCCTCAAAAACCAAAGATAAAACAACCCCCAAACAAAAACAGCTGAAATATAGTGCAGGGCTAGAGCATTTGCCTAGCGTGCACAAGGCCCTGGCTTAATTCCTCATAACTGCAAAGATAAAAGAACAAAAGTGCGCTTGTGTGTGTGTGTGTGTGTGTGTGTGTGTGTGCGCGCGCATGTGTTTGTATGGGTAGTTGTATAAATGCTGTTTGAAGAGGATTAAGTTATTGAAATGCAGCTACTGGCTTGTGCTTTGCGTCTTCATGTCATAATGTGCATTGTCAAATATTTTATGTTTGAATTCAGCTCACAAAAAGATTAGAGGAGGTCAAGTTGTGCATGGATTGAACAAAAACTGATGTAAAGATATCACAGTATCAGAATGATGAAACATATTTAACTGAAATGAGTTTATGTATGTCCAGACAAATTCTGAAAAGTAGAGTGATTCAGTTCCATCTCTTCAGTTATAAAAATCCCAGAGTCAACATGGGACGGCACACTGGACCCTTTGGTCCCCAGCCTGTCTTGGGTGCTAGACTGAACATGACCCTTAATACCAAGCCAACTGCTTCATTTGATCCTCGCTTAAAGAATAATCTTGAATGCTCCTGAAAGAATAAAGACAAACTGATGTTACTGTAGTTAGTGAAAATATATGGCACTTCCTGAGAAGTTAGGAAAAAGAAGCACTTAAGAGAATCCTGAAGTTTACTTTGTGTTTACTCTATTTTTGTGTGTGTTAATGTCTTTTGAAAAGCTTATTCCCAAATAACATGGAACTATACAGTGTAAGCAAAACAGCATTTTCTAAGAATTCTGCGTAACAACTTGGATGTGTTGAGCAAATGTCTTAGGGAGAGATTAGTAGACTGGAAAGAAAGGTCTGTTTCTGCCAGCGCTCAGCTGCTGACTATTCCATGGCTAGGTACAGTACTAGCCAGATTCCCCTGCTGTAAATTGAGTCTTGGACTGGATGGTGGGAGTGCAACTTCCTGCTCTAACTGGTAGAGTGGAGCGCTGTGCCAGCAACAGGAATGTAGGAGGAAGGTCACCATGGCTTAGGCAGAAACTGAGTTTCTTTTCCCCATACTGGCTTCTGAAGGACTGAAGTTGATTTCTAAATTGCGAGAGAGCTAGGGAGGGTGGTGCTGGGAGGAGAGAGAGAGGGAAAGAGAGAGGGGAAGAGAGGGGAGAGAGAGAGAGAGAGAGAGAGAGAGAGAGAGAGAGAGAGAGAGAGAGAACGAATGAGCCTGATGGGAGTCAAAGGTGTTCAAACAGTACTATGCTTAATTTTTTGCCTTTCCAGATAGTGGAAGAAAGGGGCCCTAATTCTGATAAAGCAGAATTTTTGCTTAAGTCTACTGCTTTGTCATGGAAGTTCTTAGAAAATTTGCCTTTTCCACAAGATATTAATCACTATGATATTTCCCTATAATATATTGAGCAAAATGAATTCTTCGCAAAATTTTTTACATTTATTCATTTGTGTGTGTGTGTGCGCACGCATGTGCATGTGAAGGTCAGAGCACAACTTTGAGGAGTCCGTTCTCTCTTTCTACCATTATGTGGGTTCCGGAGATGGATCTTTGGTTGTCTGGCCAATGTAGCAAGTGCCTTTGCCCTCTGAACCATACCCTGGTTCCTCAGCTTTGAGATTTAGATGAGCTCTTGTAGCCACATTAGAATATTTACTTTTTTTTTTTTTTTTTTTTTTTTTTTTTTTTTTGTCTTTTTGAGACAGGGTCTCCCCGTAGTCCCAGCTGACCTGAACTCACTATGTAGACCAGGCTGGCCTTGAACTCACAAAGATCCGCCTGCCTCTGCCTCCCAAGTGCTGGGACCAAAGGCGTGTGCCACCATGCCCGGCTTACTTTTTTTTTTAAGTTGCTCAAAAATTATGTTTGTGAAACTTGAACACCACCTTCGCCATCTTGATCTTACACTGATGTACCACGATTTTGTGTTGGTAACAGTAATGTGTTTTTACAGAGGTTGGTGAATGTTCTCCAATATCAAAGTGATGTTAACAAGCAACAGAGTGGTCATTGTTTATGATGATCATGCTCAGAAACTTCTAGCATGGTTGGCTAAGCCTCTCCTTTGAGCTGTTGGCGGTTTCATTCTTTTGTACATTTGTGGTGTGGAAGCCCCTGGGCCCTGAGTGGCCCCTGTCCCTACTTCCTTCTCTTCCTTCTGTTCTTGTGCTGTTATTTTTTCCATCAGAGCACAAGGAAATCAGAAATAGTCTAACCCGTAAATATTACCGAATCCTGTTTATTAACATCCCTGTTGGTATTGACATCAAGGAGTTTAAATTATAGATGAAAGCTGTTTTCATTAAGATTGGTAGGCTGTACTAAGCAAATTATTTTTTCTTTCTTTTTTGCCTAGAGAAATGGAACTCCTAAAGTAGTATGTAACAGGCAAACTTTTTATTTTCATTTAACAGTTACCTAAGAATATTAATGGGAATTTCTGGTGATGGAATTAGTAGGCTTTTTTTTTTTTTTTTTTAAGGACTTGAAACAGCTCTTGTAAAACAACAACGAAAACTTATAAGTTTCATTTTTACTATTTTTAATGGTGTGGGACGCTATGTATATGTGAGTACAAATGACCATTAGAAGCCAGAGGCTTTGGATCCCTGAAGCCAGAGTTATTGGCAGTTGTGAACCACTAAGTGTGGATGCTGGGAACCAACTCCTGTCCTCTAGAAAATCAGCACATGCTCTTAAACTCTGAAGCCATCTTGCCAGCTTCTTGTTTCATTTAAAATGTGAAGTTAGGATAGAAAAACACTAGAAGAATAATATTAAACTGTTGTCTCATTTGGACCAGGCTCCCAAATACAAAACTTTTTTTTGTTATTTTTGATGTAGTCTTATGTGCTTATATATTACTGGTTTGTGTGTGTGTGTGTGTGTGAAAAAGAGACAGGGTTTCCCTGTAGCCCCAGCTGGCCTGGAACTCAACAGAGATCCGCCTGCCTCTGCCTCCTGAGTGCTGGGATTAAAGGCGTGTGCCACCACTCCTGGCTTCCAAATTTCTTATAATAAAGAAAAGAATTCATTTCAGAATATAATTTGCTGTGTATACCTAAATCATTTTAACTTCTGCTGTGTATGGTGGTGCGTGGTGAGTTCCAGGTCAGCCAGGGCTATGTAGTTAAAAGCATTTTAACTTCCTTTACTTTGTGTAATTGTGAAACTTTGTGTTCCATTAGGCTTGTGGAGACTAAATATTTAGCCAGTTTTATTAGTCAGTTTTTTCACTGAAAAAACTCTTTATATATGAACTAATAGAAATAGTATGAGATCAAATAATTCAGGAGATTAATTTTAAGTTGTGCCCCGGCCTCTTAATTTACCTTTTTTATTTTTTTTGAGATAGAGTCTTGGTAGGTAGTCCAGGCTGGCCTTGAACTTGCAATCCTCTTGAGTGCTAGGTTCATGGGGATGCACTACTACATCCAGCTTTAATTTTACCTTTATCCTTAATTTTGTACATGGATACTGCTTTGTCCATCTGGTAAGCTTGCTCTAAGAATCAAATGAGATAACATAGAAGAAAGAAGCCTTTGAATACTAAGGTGAAGTCTGGGTCACTCAGATGATAGAGTGCTTACTTAGCTTGCAAAAGGGCCCTGGGTTCCTCCCCAGCACCACGTAAACTAGTTGTTGTGGTACAAACCTATATATTCCCAGTCCTTGTGAGATGAAGGCAGAAGAATCACAAGTTTCAGGTCATCCTTGCTAAATATCAAACTTAAGGCCACCCTGGGCTACACCAGACCTTGTCTCAAAAAATACATACATATACACTAAAGTGAATTTGGTATTCACAAGTAAGACTAACAGTATATACATTCATCATGAGTGATGTTTAAACTATAGTTATGGCCTTCAGCGGGCTCACCAGTAGGAGCAAGACTCAATCCAAGTTCAGGCATGGTGACACATGCTTATAATTCTAGCACTCAGGAGGCTGAGGCAAGAGGATCACAAATATAAGGCCAACTTGGGCTAGTTTGTGAGACCCTGTTGGAAAAACAAGAGGATAGCTCTTGGGATTCTTCTAACCAAATCCTCATAAGTCACAGATGCACAGAGAGATAAGATCTCTCAGTAAGTTTTGTGGTAGACAACTAAGATGCAGTTATCATGGTGATTAATGAGATACAGGTTTTGAAGTTTAATTGTGTAAGGCATCAATAATAACAGTTTTATCTCTGAATGTAGCTTTCAGTAACAGATCTAGAAATTGGGAATATTGAAAACATATCCTATTAGGTTGTTGTGGTAAGAGAAATTGTTCTGTAAGGTCCAGAGAATGAGCTACAATAGCTATATTTTTGGTTTTGAATGAGTTTATTAAGTATATAGAAGAATAAATGAGTATATAGAGAAATAAATACACAGATAACAAAACATCATCAAATCAGGTACTCAACAACATCTAGCAGAGACTGACTGAGGAAGTCCCTTTGAGCAGCCAGTTTGCGTTCCCCATAGAAAAAGGCCTGTGCAGATCAGAATGTCCCTTTAGGTGAGGCTTCCATGCAAAACAGCAAATAACAGCAGGAAGATGATGTCATCAAACTGGGGGTTTACAAACATGTAGCAGAAAATGACTGGGAAGCCCCGTTAAGATAGCCAGCAAGAGTTCCCCAAGAGTTCAGGCAGAGCAAAGTGTCACCCTTGGTAAAAGAACAAATAGCAACAGACAGAGATGGCGTCGTCAAATTGGGTGCTCAGACATCCAGCAGAAATCAACTGGAGAACTTGAGCCAGTCAGTTAGCATTTCCTGTTGCGCTTTCTCTCCATGGCTGAATGTACCATCGGTAAGTATCCGACTTCTCTCCCACCACAGGCACTTTCTATCATGGGATAAACAGTAATAACACCTGTTGGAAATGGCTGACCTTTTAGCTAGTTTCAAGAACACAGCGTACTCATGGGCTGTTTTGCTGTACTTTCTGCCCTATCACAGAGTTAGAAGAAGCAGCCCATCCGCCACATAAGGGGCCTGGGAGGACACTTTGAGAAAGTCATGTTTGGGTCTGAAATGGGAATGGAGAAACAACCCTGATCCCAAATCTAGTTTCTCAGCTCAAACAGCACATGACAGTTTTTAACAGTATAATAATGTACATTACAGAGATGTTATGTGTAAAGTACTTTGCACTTTTATAGCATGTGGTATGCACTAGATTAATGATGCCTCTTCGATTATTGATATTTTTAGCAGTTACAAAGATTCTTCTAGTAGTTACTCTCACTAGTAAAGTTGTTACAGCTCTTTTGCTGAGACAACCCAGACAATTCACTGTGTCTTCTTTTAGCACCTGAAGGTATTAAAAAGAGGTTAATTTAAAGAGATTAAACACCAAAGTTTGTAAATAAATGATGGAAAATCTGGGCTGTTGAAGGTGGCTCAGTGGATAAAAGTGCTTGCCATGCAAGCCTGGGACCCACAGTAGAAAGAGAAAACTAACTCCTGAAAGTTGTCTTCTGACATCTCCATGTATGTGCATCCACACTCTCACGTATTTCTCTCTTTCTCTCTCTCTCTCTTGCACATACACACACAAATACACACACACACAGGTGGAAAATACAGTGTAAATGATCATATGGTTGGTGGGGGGGGTTCTATTTTGAAACAGGGTTACATGTAGCCCAAGCTGGCTTCTAACTGTGTAGTGAAAGATAACCTTGAGCTTCTGATCCTTCTTTCCCTACCTCCCAAGTGCTGGAATTACAGGTGCATACCACCAAGCCTAGCTGTTCTTTTCTCTTTTTTTGTGGGAGGTGGGGACACAGTCTCACTATGTGGTCCTGGCTGGTCTGGAACTCACTATGTAGACCAGACTGGCTTTAAGCTCACAAAGCTCCCCCTGTCTCTGCTGATTGCTGGGATTAAAGGCATGAGCTACCACACCTGGCTCTGATTTTTGAGACAAGGTCTTGCTCAGTTTCGTAGGCTGGCCTTGAATTAACTCAGTACAATGTTTGCCTCATACACACAGCAGTCCTGTTGCCTCTGCCTCCAAAGTGCTGAGATTACAGGTGTGGAGCACCGAGCCTGGCTCAATTTGTTAACATCCAAATTGTCTTAATTTAATACAGAAAACCTTTGGGTGTGTAAGTATAACCAATGAACTTAGGAAATAGGAAAATCATTTCCTTCCCCTACCTACCACTTTTCTTGAATAAATTGACACTATATACTTTTGTTTCCTTTAGTCAATTAATTTTTTTTTCTTGCTAAGTATCAGTCTACTTTGAGTCTTTGTTAACAGAATCAGGGCTGTTTCATCTGTGTTGCCTTCAACTAAGAGGCATCTAAACTTTAAAATTGTTTTAGGGTTAGGAAATTTGTATATTATTTAGTACTAATGAAATTGCCTTCAAAAATTAATTATAGATTTAAAATATTCTTAATTTCAGATTTTCTTTTTTTCTGGGGAACTGTATTTTTAATAACAACGACATTAGTAGCCCTCCTGAAAAAAGAAAACAAGGAAGTATCAGTAGTAAAAGAAGAAACACAAGGGATCACAGATACTTACAAGCTGCTTTTTGCAATTCTAAAAATGCCAGCAGTTCTGGCGTTTTGCCTTCTGATTCTAACATCAAAGGTAAGAGATTTCTGAAGCAAGTGTACCATTATCATGGAGTGCTTTCAATGCCTTTTCATGCGTCCCTGTCTAGTACCATTAGGATTTAATAATGAAAACTGATATTTCCTGTCTATTAAATATATTTTAAAAGTGTGATTTACTTTCAAATGTCATTTCAAAGTAAGCTAAATGTCTCGGAATCATGAAAAGAACTATGTCAATATGAAAAACTGCTAATAGATGTGAAATTATGAAATTTTATTAACAGTACTAGTGGTTGGACTGGAATGAACACCTGAAATGATAAGAGCCTTCTGCTGTGCAGTGAGTGTTCCCTTAATGTCGGGTAGTGAAGTTCTTCCCTGAGAATGTAGCTTACAAAGATAAGGAAGTGGATGAGTTAGTGCCAGCACAGGAGAGGCTGAGGCAGGAGTATCTGAGTTCAAGGCCAGCCTGAGCTTACGTAGTGAGTTCCAGGCCATCCTGGGGTACGGTATGAGGTCCAGACTCAACAAAACAGAACAGAAAACCAAAGTCTTGGTCCTGTGGTTCTAAAACATTTCAAGATGCTATGCTAGAGAAAGGACAAACACGTATGTTTCATCATGAGCTGAGCTCCTCTCTGGAGTTAGTGTCCCTGGTCTAGACTCTCACAGGATTTTCTTTTCATTTTTAATATTGACATGAACACTTTACCGTTATCTTGTGATAGGCCTAGAAGAGACAATGTAGTTTCAGTGTTTTCATTTTATTTAATTTTTATTTATTTTTACTATTTTCTGTGTATGAGTATATTGCCTGTATGTATGTGAGTGCACCCATGTCATGCAAAGCCGCAGAGATCAGAAGAGGGCATTGGATTCCCCTGGAACTGGAGTTAAGGATGGTTTGTAGCCACCATGTGGGTGCTGGGATTTGAACCTGGGTCCTCTGCAAGAGCAGCCAGTGCTCTTAACTGCTGAGCCAACTCTCCAGCCCCTGTTTTCACTTTAAATATTATCATTTAAAGTGTTATAAGTGAGTTATTAGTCATCTCCAGTGATGGAGAAGGAAAATTAGAAGAAAGATTCAGGGAAGATAGTGTTACCTGGTCACATCATTTAGAGATTAGCATTCTTGACATCTCAGATATATTTCTTTTGCACCCCCTCTTTCTCTAAATGGGTGTGCATGTATCCATATCTGCATCTATATATATACTTCATGTATATGTTTATGGTACAGTTTAAAAGTGGGATTGAAGGAACGGAGAGATGGCTCAGTGGTTAAGAGCACTGGCTGTTCTCACAGAGGACCTGGGTTCATTCACACGAGGGCTAACAACTATCTGTAACTCCAGTTCCAGGGGAATCTGTTGCCCTCTTCTGACCTCCTTGGACATTGCAAGTCATGGATGCACTTACATGCAGGCAATACACTCATACACATAAAATAAAAATAAAATTTTTAAGTGGGATTAAACTGTACTATGTATAATTTTACCCTTTTGTCTTATTAATCCAAACATTTTCCTGTATCATTAAATAATATTTGAAAACATACTGTTTAGTAACTATATTAATAGTCATAGAATGTAAATTTGCTCTAATCATCTTTCTGTTTAGTTTGCTTTTGCTTTATAGTTGTAAAAGTGTACTAGTAAACATTTTTCTATATGTCTTTATTGAATGTTTTCTGAATATTTTTTCTAGTGATTCTTAAATGAGTCAGTGATGTGCAAGTAATTGAAAGCAAGTAACTGACTTGCTTTCCAAAAGTTGTACTACAGCCGGGTGTGGTGAAAAACATCTGTAATCCCAGCATTTGGAAGGTGGAGGCAGAAGTATCAGGAGTTCAAGTCATCCTCAACTACTTAGCGAGTTTTAGGCCAACCTGGGCTGCATTCAACCCTGTCCCAAACAAACAGACAAAACAAAATGATCCCCAAAACTACAGCTCAGTAGAAAATTAGGAAGTTTTAAATTGAGGTATTCTTTTTTTT